GAATATTTTGTGGTTGAATGAACTTAATCTGAAATAAAAGTAAACAAAATTGTTTTATTTATATTTAAATTTTTCTTTTAATAAATAAAAATTATTTGGCGGGAAAATTGTAAATAATCAAAATTCTCTTAATTTTTGTTTTCTCATGCTCTCAAAGAATATAGCTAATAATTATTTAATTAATTTTCGATAATTTTCAAATTAATTTAAGAATTAAATTGACAATATTAAATTTAAATTATTGTATTTATATTATAATTTCCATATTATCATTATTATTATTCCGCCATAATTCAATACAATACAAAAGAATACATTTAAGAGGAAAGAAAATGAAAAATATTTAAAATAAAAAATCCTATATTAAATGACCATATTTTATTTAATATGAAAAAAAAACAAAAATTTCTTTTTTCATTTTTTTTGGTTTAAATTTTTTCTTTCGGATAATTTCTTTAAAACAAAATGGTTAAAATTAAAAACGAAATTATATACGTACTTAATAATATTTTTTTTTTAATAATGTTATGATATTGCAAAAATTATTCCTCCATTATTCCTTCCCGCTGCTTCAATATTTTTCTTGTATTATATGGCATTAAAAGAAAATTACAATAAATTTTATGAAAATGCCGGACAGGTTATTTGTTAATAAGTTTCATTTTTTATTTATTCTTGTAATTTTATTTCTTTTCTTCTTTGACAAATGAATAATATAAAACTTGTAATCCTTGATTAATTTCAAGATTTTTGATTTTTTCATATACTTATACTTACAATTTTACACGGTTTGAAAAATGTGTTTTTCTTAGTAAATTTAAGAAAAGCAATGAAAAAACTGTGAATGGGTGATAGTGATTTAAGAGATAATTATTGTGATATAATTGGCATGAGGAACGCGTAAACAATGCATTATGTTATACATGTAAGGGTTTTAATAGAAAAAATTATTATTATGGCTAAGTTTAGGCGTTTTATATTAATTAATTGTTTATTATGATGAATAATTGACAAAATGTAATTGAAAAATGCATATATTGTATTTTAGTAATGACTAAAATTGTGGGTTGCCAACAAGTTTACATTATAATATGAAATTTTTTATACATACTAAATTCAAATACATCTACAATGTACTTTATAGTAGTCGCTGGATGTGACATGGATACATTTTTATTATTAAATTTTAAGTAATAAGAATTTTTTTGATATGTTAAAAAATAAAATACTAAGTATATGAGTCCTACACGCCAAAAAATATTTTGAACAACAATCGCTCACAATTCTCAAACTTTGAATTCATTTTACTTATCATTATTTAAACAGTTATTTGTTTTAAGGTTAAAAGGCAGTCAAGATAGGTCTTTCCAATGGTTAGGTCAATATAAGTGATAGATCAAAGATTGCTGCCCATATATAATATAATCCAGTAAAGAAAATATTGTACCTTATATTCCTGTATACGCAATAATGCAAAATATTATGAAAATTAAAATTGCCTCTCCAATACGAAATATTTACTTAATTATTTACATTTAATTATGTTTACACAATATTAAAGACATTGACTTCTCTTAATTAATGCAAACAAATCCAAAAATAATATGCATATAAATATATTTATAAATATATAAAAAATATTTTACAAAAATGAAGTAATAGTGATAGTCATGTCACGTTCTATTCAAAAGGTAACTATCCATAAGTTTATATATGTAAAATATGTGATGATAAAAAAAATTAAAATAAAAGAAAAACAAATTAAATGGTGTCTACTGTTTTTTTGTTACTGTCATTTTCTATATTATATTTGTTTATAATATAGATGAAAATATCTATAAACATATACATATGTATATGTGTGAATGTACATTATATTCTTAATATAATATTATAATAGAATATTGTTTATTTACAATAAATTAAATGAAACAAAAAATAAAGAATAGCTAACAATGAATTTGAAGATTTTGTCTTTAACTTTATAATCCTATGATTAATTAAATGATTTTCAACAAATAAATTTTTTATACATACATATATGCTTAATATATGAAACGTTCATGTTTCTTTGTCACTCTTACTATTCTTGTCTCTTTTCGATACATTAAAAAAAACAAGGAAATAATTCTTCTGACAGTTTAAAATTAATAATTTAATTCTTTTACAATAGCTTATTATATTTATGTATATTTGTATATATGTATGTATTTTTCCATAATGTACAGAATTAGCAATGAATCTTTGAAAATTTCCTTTTTTTTCACTATTTTACTACTATTTATAAATTTAAGAATATGTGTATACTTACACACAAACATTATCTTTTGAATCTAAAAAAACAACTAAATATTAAACAAGAAAAAAAAACCATTTTATAATTTATTATAATTTTTTTATTTTTCATAAGATAATTGTTGTCGTTTTAATGTCAAATGAAGTGTTTATTAGAATTTTAATGTACAAATTTGTTTATTTAACCAAAAAAAAGCAAAAAAAAGTATAAATAAACAAAATAATAGTGCCAAAATTTATTATTGGTACACTTGAAATGTTCAGAGTTTATTTTTGTTTTGCTTAACTCACGTGCTCTTATCATTTCTCATTTATCAATGTACATAAATATTCATTTTTTTTTCAGTTTAAATATGAATAGGATCCGCATATATGTATGAGTGTATGTGTCACCATGTACTGTACATTTTATTAAAATTTATGAACTGAATTTTAGTTGTTTTTTTTATTGCATTATTGCCTGTGATGGAAGAATTCATACAAATAAATAATTTGTTTTTAAATTTTTAGTATTTAAGTATGTGCAAGGCTTCTTTTATAATAATTTAAAATATCTATTAAATTAATTTTTTATTATTTATTTGTTTTCATTGTGTTAATTTTCAAAAATTATTTTCGATTATATCAATATATTAACAAAAAATACTTTATTATATTATAATTTAGTAGTAGAACATGTAATGAAATCTAAAATAAATTAACACAATAATCACATGAAAGTTTTATACCATTTAAAGCTCAAGTATAATTAAAAGCTCTTACAAAGTATTTAAAGTTTTGTTTGAAAAAATTTTGTAGTAGTCAAATTAAAAATTTAAAATTTTTGAAAATAAACGTGACTTAAATTTTTGCAAAATCTTATATTAATAAAATAAAAAGCTTTTGTACTATAAATTTTTATTTTTATTGAAATGTATAGGGTATAATAAAAATCACAACAAAAAAATTATATTGGGTGTACGGAATAAATGAATATTATCAAAAATAATGCGCACCTACATGTTAATTATGTATGCCTTCGATTACGCATTTGTTTAGTATATTATTTAGTTTATTACCGTTATCGGAAAACAAAAATCTTTTTAAAACACTCAAATTTATGTTAAATATTCCAAGGCTATTTCAAATATTCCAAAAATTGGCCAACTTTGTTTTGTAATGTACTGTAATTTTTATAATTATTACGACAACACTTTATTTGTGTATTTTCACTTATCCCGTTATAAAAAATCTCAATATCTCTTTTTAATACAAGATTGCATTTCAAAATTTGTGTTTCTCTTTCTTTTTTTTAAATTTTAAGGATTTTAATGCGGAAAGAGATTTTAATTCTGTTATGTTGTAAAGGAAGGACCCACTTAGGGTATGGTACTTACTGTTGCACAGTATAAATGTTGACACATCTTGCCTGCTCCCTGCTGTAAATTTGAAAAACCTTGCCATTGAAACGATTTAATTATAAAATACTTTAGAATTGCTTTTTTTTTTAAATTACCAAATAAAATTTTTGTTATTAATTTTAATTAAAATCGGAAACTTTCAAAATAATTTATTATGATTTTTTCTTTTCTTTTTTTAATTTTAATAACAACAAAATATAATTATAGTTTTTGTAAAAATTTTTATAGATAAAAAATTCAAATTAAGTTTTTTTCCCTAAGTATAGTTGTTATAAAAATCGAAGACTGAAAAAATAAAAAAAAAAAAATCTCATCTGATTTTTCGATATTTTTAGTAAAAATTTTCTTATTGTTTTTTAAAACATAGTTTTTTTTTTGTTTTTAATTTTTTTTTCTGTTTTTTAATTTTAATAAAAATAATCTTTTTATAATCCCATTAATTTATTAAAAACGTTGCTGTTTGGTCAGAGATAAATTAAAAAATATAATATTAATAAAAAAATAAATAAATAAATTTGTGTATAGATAATAAACGAGAAAATTATTATTAATTCAGCTATAAGTTTAATGCCACTAATAATATTTAAAATTAAATTATAATATTTTAAAATTATAATACGTATGTATGTGTATGTGGGCATACATATATTTTTATTTAATTTATTGTTATAGAATAAATATTCAAGGCTTTGGCATTGTTACCACTATTTTTTTTTTTGTTTTTTTTTTTTTAATTTTGCATTTTAAATATTGTACAATATTTAAAAACAAAAAAAAAATATGATAGATTAAAAGATTATAATATAGACTTTTATGTTTAATTGAACTATTGACCGCCAGCCAAAGCAAGTTTAAATATAACGTTTTCCGTTTTTGTTTTCCAATTCTTTTGTGTTATTATCGAACTGGGTTGAATATTGTTGCTTTTTATTTAAATTAACTATTTGAAGTTTATTTGTTATAAATAATAATTAAAAAAAAGTTCTTATTGACAGTTTCGGTATATTATTTTTGAGGGGATAATCCAGAAAAAAATAGATTAAAAACTAAAATTTGCATGAAATAACAATTAAATGAATAGCTTCTATTAATAATAATGGACAGTTTTGAGTAATAAATACAAATATACATATACAATATTTTTGTGTCTCATACTGTTATACATATTATATAAAAAGAAATACAGTTATTGTATTGTTGTCGTAGGTAAACGATAGATAATTAATTGCAAATTAATTTTAAACATTTTCTCCAATAATTTTTAATTTTATTTATTCTTTTTTTATTTTGATTTTTTTTTTGCAGAAAATGGTGTTACTGAAGCAGACAAATCAATTATCTTACAAGAGCACAATAAATTAAGAGCTAGTGTTGCAATGGGTCGTGTACCTGGTCAACCTGGTGCAGAAAATATGCGTGAAATGGTATGGGATGAAGAATTAGCAGCACGAGCACAAAAATGGGCAGATAATTGTCAGTTTAAGCATGATCCACGTCGAACAATAGGTGTGTAAAATCAATTGTAATTATGATTAGCTTGTATTAATTCATATACTCGCATTTTTTCTCAATAAAATTTATTATAATTCGCAAATTTATGCATATTTTATTTTTATATATTTATTGTTATATTTATTGTTATATTTCAATAGATCGGTTTACAATGGGTCAAAATGTTGCAATTTTATGGAGCACGGCACCTTTAGGTGAAGGTGAAGGTGATTTCCCATCCAGAATACAAAGTTGGTTTAATGAAGTTCAAAAATATGACTTCGGCTCAGCATGGTCACCAAAAACTGGGCATTATTCACAAGTAAAAATTATAATAAATTTTTTTTTCATACAAATTCCAATTAATTTTCTTTTTCAAATATTTTTACAGTTGGTTTGGGGTGAAACAAATTTAGTTGGTTGTGGATTTACTTACTACAAGGATTCCAGAAAATACAACAAATTATTTGTTTGTAACTACGGACCTGGGTAAGTTTCAATAAACAAATATATTTTACAATTGTCTACAATTTTGCTTAAAAAGCTTTTTGTTGAACGCTTTTTCTATAAAGATTAATTTAGGTATAATAATTTAAGGGAAGAATATTATAATAAATTGTAATAGTAGTAATTAACAGCCATAAGATATCAAAATTGCAAAACTTCTAACAAAACATTATGCATACATGTGTCGTAATCATATCTTTTATGAAACGTCATTTTCAAAATTATTTTAAATTCTGTGCGCTACATATTGGTATCACAGGTAAAGCTTCCTATCAGAAACTGAGAATCAAAGTAAAAATATCAAATTTTAAAAGAAAGTTAATATAGAAAATATACTTTGATCAACGTACAGGTGAATAATAAACTATAAGATGCTTCTGCCTCCATTTATTAGCTTTAAGGTCTTTTGAAAAAAAAATTGAATAAAATAAATCTTAATTTATTTTTTTTTCAAAGACTTTTAATGCTAAATCTTCTTTTTTTTCTAGCTGGAAGAAAAATTCAACGACAGCTACTACTATCACTCCTACTACTATTAAGACTACCACTATAAAAACTACTACTACTACTAAGAATAATTTTAAAAAGAATACCACTACTAAAAAGAAAACCACTACTAAGACTACTACTACTTCTCCTAAAATTTCAACTCACAAAAGTAGAAATACTAAAAATACTAAAAAGGGCCGTTATTCTAGTTAAAAATAATTAATAAAATAATTTTTTATAGACAACTATTTATTTTTACAAATTTTATTTACATAATGTTATAGTAGTTTTGCTTTTGTAGTTATGTAGTTTTGCAGTAGAAAACTAACTGTATTTTGTTATTATTTTTGTTAATTACAATTTATTAATTTTTTTATTATTATTTTGTTAAGTTTAATTAGGTTGTGGGATATTTTTTACATAAAATTTTTTAAAATTTTTGTTTTTAAAAATATTTATTTTTGTTTTTGTTATTTTTTATGTGTTAACTTTGTATTCTTTTTGTTTTAAAACATTGTTTTATTTGTTATATTTTGTTTATATTTTTATTAACATATTTTATTATATTAAATATTTGAAAATTTTGTAAATACATTTTTATTAAAAAATTTGTAGAAAAATTAGTTTTCCTTCATTAATAAATAGTAATTAATACACGGTTTAAATAATTATTTATTGACTTAATGTAAAATTTAAATTTAATTTTTTAAAAATTTTATTTACTTTTAGTGGCAATGTAATTGGAGCAAATCCATATGAAGTTGGACGTCCAGCATGCACTAATTATGGAATGAAACCATCATATCATTATCAAGGTTTATGCTCTGTACCAGCTAATTTCCAAAATACAATTGAGGAATCACCATCATTTTATGTTAAAGAGCCAGCATATACAAGTGGTAAATCATCATATGAGCCACAACAGCAACAACAACAATCAGTATCACAATTAATACAAGTACCTGGCTCAAAGACAACAACTACAACAACGACACATCATCATTATGTTTATCGTCAAGTGCAAAGGCAACAACAACAGCAACAACCGAAACCAGTCCAACAGCAACAAACAACAGAGGAACAATTACAGCAAACCCAACAACAACAACCACAACAGAAACCACCAGCTCCAGATTACGATTATTCATTCAAGTCTTTCTTTAAACAATTAGCAGCTAATAATAAAAATCCTAGTTATGGATATGATTGGCAACTGCAATAGGATTTCTTTTTATTTAATAACAAATTTTAATTTTAATTTAGCAAAATTAAATTCTTTAATTAAATTCTATAAAATTTTTCCAAAAAACAAAAAGAAAAAAAAAAATTAAAAAGTAATTAAATTAAAGAAAAATTCTTAGGTGCCAATTTTTTTAACAAATTTTACATACATAGTTTATAAGCTAGGTATTGTTTTATATACAAATTATATATATTCATACATAACGTATTTATATGTGTATATTATTGTATATATGAAAGAAAGACTTGTAATTTTATAATTGTTATATACATAATAAGAATTATTAGATTTAAATAATAATTATATACAAAAATATTATAGTTATTATTTTACCAAAATGAGAGAGATAGATATACAAAATCATCAAAAATCATTTTAAAATAATATACGTATATGGAGGAACAAAAGAAAAAGGAAAAAAACTAATAATTTTTGTTTATTAGGCGTTTTTATATACGTGTTGTTTTTATTGTTTCATTAAAAAGGACACAGTATTTTAAACAAAATTTTAAGTACGAAAAAAAAAAAGAATTTTGAAAAAAATATTTTATTTGTTTTTTTTTTTTTTTGCATATGCACAACGGTATTCTTTAAATACTGTTGATTTCGAAATAAAAAAAAAAAATTAAAAAATAAATAAAATAAATTTTTCTCTTTTCCTTCTTTTTTTTTTTTTGTCTTAAATTTTGTAAATGTTACCCTGGTGGTTACATTATGAAACTACAACATTGTTTATTTATTAGATTTTTTTTTTAAATAACAATGTTTAGTTTTCAAAAATAATAAAAAATAGAAATAAAAAAAAATGAAATAAAGTAAAAATAAGAACAAAAACTATAGAAGGAAATTTATAACAGCTTTTATTGTTAATAATGTTAAATAGAAAAGGTTTTCAAAACTAAAAGTATATAACATAAAAATAATTACTGTAAGTTTTCTAAATTTTTGTATAACATTTATGAGAAAACAAAGACAATAGAAGCAAAAAAATTTTATAATATGAAATAATTAAAAAGACAGTTAAATTTACATGTTTTTTTTTTGGTTTAACTTTATAAAATAGTTTTTAAAACAATTATTTTATTATTATTAATTGAAGGGGTTTAAATTTTAAAGTTTAAAATCTGGTAATTAATTATATAGTTTTAATATTCAACTCCTTCTTTTTTTTTCTTACTAACTTTGTGCATAATAATTATTATAATTTTTTTTTTATATAATAATAGTGTTTACATGATGTTCTGTAAAGAGCATACTAGAAGCTTCTGTTCTACCCTAAAATTAAATCATATTGATATTTTATTGTTCAATTTAAAATAGTACAAGAAATAAGTAAATTTATTCAAAATAATTTTTTTGGTAATTTTTGCAAATTTTATTCTAATTTTAAATAATTAGCAATTGTAGTTTACGTATAGAAAATTTGAGTAGAAAAAAAATTTTTTTTAACAATGAATTATTTTTATTTAGAACTTCACATTATCGTATTTATGAATCCCTTTTTTGTACAACAATATTATAGAAAATTGCGCATTATTTAAAAATAAATTCTTGGCAGGAAATCATTGTTTGTCTGCGATCAGAAGCAATAAAATTAAAAAATAAAAATTTATTTTTATTTTTTTTTCGTATATGTGTACATTCCTTTGCATATCATGTAACATTTTATATATATAAAAATATAATTGTAAACATTTTTTTTTTTTTAAGTATGTGTGTTATATATAAAATTATACAACTTTTATTATTATTATTATTATATTGTATGCCTCTAGCGAATGTTTGTATCAAATATTTGTTCTGTGGTATTGTCATTTTATAAATCTTTTTTAATATAAAAAACATTTTTTCGAAAACAAAAACGTTGTTGTTTTTTTTTTTTCTTCATTTTTATTTTTCTTCTATGTTTATATTTATATTTTATTTTGTTTATTTTTAGAAAAATACTTTTGAAATTTTTCAGGAAATACATAACTATAATGGAATGTTTAAGAAAATACATGCGAATTAAGAACGTATAGGAGAGGGAGTGGCTGGGAGGGGGAAAATTTTCGGAAAAAAGAAAGAAGAGGAAATTGTAAAAAGGATAATAATTTACTGAAAAAGTCTTAAGAATTATTTTTTAAGAATTTAAAAAAAAATAATAAGAAAAAGGAAAACAGGACATTAAATATAAAAAGTATTAAGGACATAAAATTTCTTGGAAAAAAAAAATAGAATAAAATGGTATGAGGCAAAGAGACATTTTATTGAAAAAAGAAAGGAAAAAAAATTCATGGGTTAAACATAAGGTCCTTTCTAAAGAATAGAACAAAAAAAAAAATAATGGGATACAAGTCATTCTTGGACAAATGGTTATTAACATTTTTCTTTTTTGTTTTTATTGTTGTTGCTTTTATTGTTTCGTCTTTTGCCTTTTTGAATGAATAAAAACAAATCTTGTTGAAAATTTATCTATTTGGTATGGGATTTCAATTATAATATTTTTATTATAATTGAAAAAAAAAGAAGAAATTATTTTTTTATTTAATATTAACATTCAATTTGAGAAAAAGGCGAAGAATGAAACATTTTAGAAAAGATATGTGATATTACATTTCCTTTAAGAGTGAACACCTACATTGGTTAAAATTAAAAAAATACAATTTTTTATTTACTGTGTTCGATTGAATATTTGGTATAAAACGAACATTTGGTAATATAGATGAACAGCATATACATGTTATAATGGTTATTCAAAAGTCGAATGGGAAGTTATGAATTTGGCTATGAAATTATTTGAAAACAAATCAATATTCTATGGACTTGTAATAGAATTTTTGTAATTGCAATAGAATTTTTTCTTATTTTCGGAAATTATCGTTAATTAAATACATGTTTTTTTAGTTTAATTATATTAATTTAGTACTATAAGCCGAATTTTAATTTCGTTGTTGAAGTACCCAATACATTAACATTTCTAAGCCTTTTGCTTGATTTTGCATTGTTCTTAATTATTGAAATGAAAATTTGAGAAATATGTGTATGGCCATATGTAAGTTGTTATTATGCAAAAAATTTTAGCAATTTCATTTTGCTATAGATTGTAAAATACGTTTCTCACAAAGTTGTTGCTCAATTAGCAAATTCACATTTATTATAATTAAAATTTAAGCCAAATCTAAACAATATTTTAGATAAGAAAATGTATAATAATTATTATTCAAATTTCTTCGATTCTTTAAAAACAAAACAAATAAGCTAAAATTTGAATCTATAAAAAAAATCAAAAGTAATGCTCGTGTAGCTACATGTAATTTAAATTACTACAAACTTATTGTCAAAATTGAATTTTATAAAATTTTGGTATGACTTGTTTAACTCAATAACATATTCAGAAAACCATAACATTAAATTTAGACACATACATATAGATAAGATCTTTGATTTAGAATTCTTTTAAGATTAAAAATTTATTTATTGTTAATGAAAATTTTGACTAACCCTATACTACCATTTCGTTCTATATTCCATTTTTTTAACTATTAAAATATGAGTTCCGTAATGAATTATTATTTCTCATCCTGATTTTTCTGTTTCCTCTTGATACAGTTTGCGGTCCTATTATTTAGAGAACAGCTTTCTAGCGGATTTTTTTTCAATCCGGAATTATGGGTTTGTCATATTTTATACTGGGTGTATAAGTTATTTGTCCCATTCCTAATTATTTCTAAAAAAATAATTTTTTTTACAATAAACAGTTTTACTTAAACACTTATGTTACCATTATGTATAACCAAATCACATTTAAAACAATTTTTATATTAACAAATAATGTTTTTTGTCTAGTCAAGAAAATGGCGTATACAACAAAATAATATTTAAATTAAAATTTATTAGGATTTTTAGATTGAATTAATTTTCAATTTTAAGTAAATATAAAATAGAAAAGAAGCTTCTATGAATTTAAATGAGCTATAGAAAAAAGTAGAAAACTTTTATAAAATATTACGATATTTTATTTTTTTAAATTGAAATTCTAAAACACATAAAAATAAATTAGAATTCCAACGCATACATATATGCGTTAATTAAAATCGATTGCACATTTTCCTCTATACATACATACATGTATTAATTTCTATTTTCTAAAAAAAAAAGCAAAAAAAAATTCAATTAAAAAATAAAATAAATAAAATGAGATTAGAACACAACTATGCATAGGGATTAACGAACGTAACATTTTCTATGTCAGCCAAATTAACAATAAATTTTAATCAGGATCTTTTGATATTATTTTGGTTTTTCGCCCCTTGCACAGCAAAGTTTAAAAAAATGTTATAGGCAAATTGAAATACCACAAAATCAATTCTCCATTTTAACACTTTCTCACAAAAAAAAATTCTCCCTAATTTTTTTTGGAGATTTTCATTTTGTATAGAAAATTTTGGAAATTTAATCACCACAACGCAAAACTTCGAACATTTAAAAAATCGAACGAAATTTTCACAATAAAAAAAAAAATATTCTCCGCAATTAAATTTCATTCATTTTTAGTCACCCTATGGAACTTGTTAAAATTTTATTTAGTTGGCCAGAAAAAAACTGATTAAAACAAAGAGAAGAAAATCGAATTTGATAGTTGTAAAAGTAGGACGTAGTCATTTCAGTCAATATCCTTTAGAATTTTTTTTATAATTCAAAATTTCAATTCTTACAAATCATGAATTAAAAAAGGAATTTTTCTGGAAATAAAGACATTTAAAGCATATAGAAGATTTTTACAAATTTTTTATTATTTAAATGCTGATTAAAATTCGGTTATGAAGATATGCTCCTAAAATTTAAGATTGACGTAGAAGCAATGGTATTTAAAAATTTCATAAGAATTGTTGCAGTGAAATCAAAGGAAATTAAAAATAAATTGTACTGTTCACAAAATTTTTACAATACAAAAAAAAAATATATAGATGCTTAAGAATGTCCTTGTATTAAATATAATTGATATTGAACTGAAAAATACAATAACAAAAATATCATAACAAAAGCAGAACAAAACTAAAAAGGATGAGAAACAAGAGAGAAGAATCGAATGACTAGCGGAACGCGTAGGAATAATTTATGATGTGGAGGCTCAAAAACCCTTAAAAATAAAACGTTTTATTGTAATTTATTTGGCGTCAATTTAAAACAATTTTAAAATATAAAATAAATGTTAAAATAAAAAGAAAACATTAATAAAATTACTGAAAAGATTTTAAATAAGGACAATGATTCCTTAAAATTGGCAATGTTAACTTGTTTTTGGTTAAATTGTTGTTGTTGGTTTTTTTATTACTCTTTGTTTTCATTATTCTTTTTTATATTCTTTAATTTCTGCGATTCATGTGTTCAATTTTCCTTCGTCTTCTCATACATTTTCCTCATACTTTCTCATATATTTGGTTTGCTTTAATTGGCTTAGTTTCCTCTCTTTTCTTTATTAAAATAAAAAATAATAAAATTAAAAATAATTGAATTTCTTTGTCATAATAATTAATATTAATAAGCAAATTAATATTTGATTCAAGAATATAAGAGATTCTTTCAAATTTCTAAATGATAAAAGTGTTTGTAAAAAATTTTGCACATTGTGAGACGAGTTTTACATTTTATAATTTAACAAGTACCTTTATATTTATATATTGAAATTAATGAATGCAAAAAGGAGGCGAATTCGTAATGATTTTGAATATACATAAAAAATGTTTTCATAAAACACTCAAGACTATGAAGAATATTCGCATTATTTTGTTTGAACAAGAAAACATGGGGTCGATCGGGTCATACGAAAGTTTTTCAAGAGTTATGAGGCATTTGACTGATAGATTCACTACTAACATTTAAGCGAAGTTTATACAACAATAACATTTTTAAATTTGTAGGACAGGTACTAAAAGAACTTATAGTTCAATCTATTCAGAATTCAATGGTTATTAAAAACATATTTGGTAAATTTATAATATAGTGGTCGATTTACAACACTTTTCGAACATTCGCTCCTACGGGTATGAAAGATACTATTATCAATAACAATTTTTGAATATTTCATTAGTAAAATGTAATTTACTAATTTAGTACCATTTAAAACTAGATTAAAATAGGCTTATATACATTGAAATTGTTATATTCTAAAAATCTCTGATTTTCTAAGAAAGATTTTTCTATTATAATACCAATTTCGACATTAAAATCTGGAAATTTTTCTGAACAACCAGCGAAATATTGAATTTTACTAAAATTTCAACTACTATTTCTTTTACAGCTTATTAAATAAATATTCCAAACGGGATAGTCTTATTTGTTAAAAGTTTAAATTAGTAAAAAAATTTTTTTGTGTAATGTAGCACTGAATGAAAATAGGTAATTCATGATTAATAAAGAAGTGAATTTACCATTGAAGGAGTTAAAATAATTAAAGTAGCTGATATTATTAAAATTCATATCACAAATTAAATCATAGGGGTCTATAAAAGCATCAGGCTATAATTTTCAATAATTTACTAACTAATAAACCCCTTTAAATTTTTCCAAAGAAACTATTTTAAAGTTTGTTTTAACTCGGAACTAAGAAATATTGGGAAAGTTTAGTTTTAAAACTAGTTATCGCACTGAGGAACTGAAAGCAATTTTAATATTTTAGAAATCATTTTAAAGTTAATTTTAAATAAAAAATCACAAATTTTAAATTTTATATCCAATTAAAGAAAATTGTTATCCTTTATTGACTTCAAAATAAACATAAATTACAAAAAGAAAGAAAGAAAAACAAAATCATAAAATATTCAAAAAATATTCTAAGGAAAAGAGAAAATTCACAATACACTAGAAATAAAAAAAAAGGAAAAAACGTAAAAAAAATGAATAAATTAAAATGCAAATTAGATTTTCTTCAACCGAAATGATTGAAATAAGAGATGATAAGAGTGTTAGCCAAGTTGTTGTTGCTTTTTTTTTAGTATTTTCAATAGATAGACATTTTTGCACATTTCACTGGTATAAAACTATTCATGTTGAAAAATCAATCTAATCAATTTTCTACAAAAAAAAAAAAATGAGATTATTATTTTATTATGGCATTCCTTTAGTTCCGTGAATACACGAACGGTATTTTAAAAAAGTGATGAAGGAGAATTTTTAGTCAAAGTGTTGTTATTGTTGATTTTTGATGCTGCAATTATAATCAATCTGTATTTAAGCTATTCTACTAGGTTATATGTAAAATTGTTAGTTTACTATAAAAGATACATTTATGTATATTTTAAAATATTATTCATTATCATCATCATCACCATCATCATCAACTATGGCAGCTATACGACGGCGTTGGCTTTGTTGATTCTTTTTACTTTCATCAATTTCAATATTATCAATATTTTCATCATCACTATCATTATCATTTTTTCTATCAATTTTTCTACGTTTCACAATAATATCTTCATCATCAGACGACAAATTATTTTCAAGTTTCCTTTTTTCAATAATTTTAATACCATCATCATTATTATCAACAATATCATTGGTTTCGTTGATTCTTTCACTATTGTTATTAATACTAGCGCCTCCATTTTCAATATCATCAATGTTCTGTCCAGGTTTTTGGTTAATTTCAAATGCTTTTGAAGGTGATGGTGATTTAAGTAATATTTGTGTGCATTCTTTTGTACTAATATCAACACCATTATATGTTTCTGATACGGAACTTATTATATCGATGATATTATTGTGATCGGTTAAAGACTCTTTTAGAATATTTAATTTAATGTTTTGACCAGAAATATTGTTCTTTTCAATATCATCCATTGAAATTACATTTGAAAGTTTATCATTAGTAGATGTTGAGAATGATATTTCTTTCGTAATATTTTCATTTTTATTATTTTTTTCACTATCTATTTGTTTAGCATTATCATCGTTCCATTTCAATATCATTGAATTTTCATCCATATCTGAATCATTTTCATTTAAAACTGTGGATTCTTGTGTTTGATTGGCTTTTTCATTAATATTACTGCCGTCATTATCACCATCAATTTGTCTTTCAACATTGAATTTTGTTTTAGTTGTTACTTCATTATCAGATAAATCGGAATCCGAATCAATAATAATTCTTCGACGATTGTGATTTGTTTTGACTGATGCTTCTTCAATTGATTCATTTTCCAAATTCCTGTTAGTTCTTGTTAACGTTTGATCTTAAATAATGAAAATATTGCAAAAATTTTTTTAAGAATTGTAATTTTCAAATTTTAAATTAATTTGTGAAAAAAATGATAGTCTTACCATTTTCATCATCATCATCACTTGCAATTAAATTCAATTTTTTCTTCTTGGGAATCAACTTAGTTGTTTCGAATTGCTCCTCAGCTGAATCATCCGATAATTCAGCTAAACGTAAACGTAAATTCTCTGAGTCGAAATCAATATCGGGGTTTTCTTCAACGGATAATACCATATCATCCAAATTTAGTTTTCCACTTTTACGTTGTTCTCCTATCGACGGTTTTGTTATATTGTCTTCCATTGATTTTTTTGATTTTGGTTTTAATTTCTTATCATCTTTTTTATTTGCTTCAGATTTGGGCTTCTTTTGTGCTTGCTTTTTCTTCAATGGTTTTCGAATTTCTTCTTCATTATCGCTTCGATTATAAACTAAACTATGCATTTTGTCACGTCTATTTTTTATATAATTATCGAAAAAGTCATCATCATCATGAGAATTTTCTGCATCGAAATCCATTTCATCCTTTTCAACAATTTCCTTAAAAAATTATTAGAAAGAATAACAAATATGAAAAACTATTGTACAAATACAAATCGATTTCACTTATTTACTTGTTCTGATTCATGATCGGAATCAGCTTCACCCTGAACTTCTTGCCCACGTAGAATTTGAACTCGTTTCTTTAAGTCCATTTCTTTTAAATAAGTTGGAATTCTCCAATATGTTTCGATTTCTTGAATTGGTGGTTGAATTCCCAATGCAATGAGTAATTTTTTAAAATTATCATCTTCCATGGCGTCCTTTTGTATTTCAATAAGTGGTAAAAGTGGTATTCCGTCTTCTTCATTATTTATATCTTCATTATCTTCTGCTGCATCTGATAAACTTTCTGCTAACCACTCAACAGCTTCGTTGAACTTATCATCAATTTGAAATAATAAGGCGCGTACTCCTGCTATATCAAGTGGGTTTTTCTTAATTTTGCGAACTTTTTGTGGTTTTGGTTTTCTTAAAAGCTTATCAAAAAGTTTTGCTTGTTTTTTATTTTGCTTATCTTTTGGTTTTTTCTTCTTCTTAGACATATTGCCTGTTTCTTCGCCTCCTTGTTCTTCTTCTGATATATATTCAATCTAGAAATAAATTAAGGTTTAGTTTTTTTATTTAAAAAAAAATTCATTATTTAAACAAATTTCTTACTATTTCTTCATAAACTATATCATTTTCTTCAATAGGTTCCCCTTTTAAAGCTTTGATACGAAGTTTTAAATCACCAGAAACAAATGTGCTTGGAATCCTCCAATATGTTGAGACTTCTTCTTGGGGTGGTTTCATACTCAATGTTGTAAGAATTTTTTGGAAATTTTCATTTTCAATTGAGAGAATTTGTATTTCAGTTATAGGAAAAAGTGGCACATCAATATCCTCATTTTGTACGTTTCCTTCTAGTTCCATTTCATCACGTGCTTCTTCAAGAGATTCAATTAGCCATGTTAAGCCTTGCTTAAATTTTTCATCCAATTCAATTATATTTGCTTTAAGAGTTTCAATATCGAGAGGATTTTTAATTTCTTTACGAACAATTTGTTTCTTTATTTTCTTAAGATTTTGACGAATTTTCTCTCTTGCTGATAACCAATCATCTGAATCAGAATCATCTGAACTATCTGAATATGAATTTCGTTTAGCTTTGTTGCGTTTTGATGGTAAAATTTCTGATTTATCCGCAATTAAATGAAGTTCAATCATTCGTTTTACAATAGCACGTTGTGGACGTGTATTACCCATTACTTCGACGATTTTGTAAAGGCATTCTTAATATAAAGGTAAAATCAAAGTTAAAAAACATTTTTGTTTTTGTTAAATTAAATATTTAATAATATTTTACTTAAATTATTTCTATGCAGTTGCTCTTAACTTTAAAGTATTAAATTTTTGGAAAATATCAGTTAAAGTTAGGGGTTCTCTCTATTTTCTTTTGAAAATAAATCATTATTTGCACTTTCGTCTAGTAATTTAACAATTCTTTTCTTTTGAAAATGATTTTGACTTTGTTTATTTTTGTTTCGTTTTTGTAAAAAAATGGTTGAATTGAGCTCAATAGAATTGAAAAAGAAACGAAAGTTTACTAAAAAATAAAATAAAAAAATCCAAAAAGTAGAAAGCGCCTAAAAAAAACGAAACTAGGAAATTTAATCATTAGGGAATTTAATGGAACAATGAAAAAGTTTTTCTATTTATTTTAACTTCTTCCATCTTCCTTTCTTTTATATCTTTTATCTATTACCTTAACATTCAATAAATCTATTTTATCCATACTATAGAAATATTACCCTATAGAATCTATTCTGATACAAAAATTAAAAAGTATTATACTTACTTTCATCAAGTCTATGTTCATCATATAGTTGTCTCAATTGTTCATCTTCCTCATGCCGCCATAGATTTTTATTAGCAGCAGATGTTGATTTTTTCGTCGGTGCTTTAAACATCAAACCCATTTCTTTAAGTTTTTTAAGAACACCACGACGAGTACGATTCTTGTCAATTAAATTGTCCAAAATCCAATCAATCACATCTGTTATATTTATTGTTCGTATATATTTAGTTTAAAGAGAATGAATCAAAATGAAAAGAAATAAAAAGTAAAATTTATAAGTAAATATTTAGATTTGAAGTTGTTTTATGTGAAGGACATAAAAGTTATTTTAAAAGAAAGAAATTTTAGTAGACTTACTGGCATCCAGACATAATTTAAAAATAGTAAAATAATTAAAATGAAAAAAAAATGAAACGAAAAGATAAGATCAAATATTAAAATAGTTCATAACTATCCATTATTCTGATTAAATTAAATAGAGTCTGAAAATCAACTAACTCCTTCTGATTATTGTTTACTAAACGTTGGCACTACATTTCTTATTAGAGAAAATGGAGGAGCATTTCAGAAACACACAACATTCAGGAATTTTGCAAAATTGTTTACAGTCCCATGTCTCAACGAGGGAGTATTGTCTTTTATAGTATGTCATTATATACAAACATTTATTACCTACATATATCAAATTTTCAAATTTATACTGTGTTTATTATAGACTTGACCGATATTGAATAGATATCGGTCAATTCATTCCACGACTGTACAATATTTGTATTAACATAATCGCACACATATTCTGTAAATTGCATCAGTTGAGGTGATGGGCTATTACTGAAAAGTTTTTGGATTTCCAGTATAAAAATGCAAATTTCGAATTTAATTTTCAAGTGATTTAATCATGTCAAGTAATGCAACCAACACAAAATGAGTGAATTTTTATGTAAAGCAATTAAAATTCTAGTATGATAAAATTATAATTAACTTGAAGATTTCAGGTTTAAGATTCTAAATTCATTTATTTTATTAACGTTTACTTTAAATTATCTGATCCATTTAAAAATTTTTATCATGTCACTAAACTAGAAAATTTTTCATTTAAAAAATTTCAATTAATAAAGTAAGAACAGAATACTTCATTTTCCAAAAAAAAAAAAATCATCATTAATCATTTGGACTTTGGACAGAATTTATTTTGCCGATTTTCAAATGATTTTCAAAAATTTCCATCAATATAAAATTACATTTTAAATGATAAAATAAATTTTTGCAGTCGAAAAAATCTAACACTAGACTTATTTTCATTTTATTAAAAAAAAAATAAAAATGCACAAAATATACATATAAATTCCTACATACATATTTATAATATGGAAACAAAAAAATACTTTAGAAAATTCTCCAAGTGACAATTTGATAAAACGTTTTTATTGCTCAATTTTAGTACACTGACTCAAATAAATCATTAAATAATTCGAAATATTTTAATGGATTTATGCGATTTTTACATATATATTAAATGTACATACAAAATGTGTGTGTACAGTCAAACCCCTATAACAAGAACGTAAGACAACAAATTCTCGAACTGTTATGTTGCATTTATGAGAATAAAATTATTGCAATTTTTTATATCACAAACAATTTTCATGTAATTTTGATAATTCTAGCTTCTTTAACACGAAATTTTCGCTTTAAAAATTCTACAGGTGTACTGGACTTCTTTTTCTGCCATAGAAACCGTAAACAAGCACTAGTTTTTCTAAAACAAGAGCTACTTTGTACTTATAATTAAATGGTTTGAAAATTATAAATTTGTTTTCAATTTTACATACCTATATGCTGCATAAATTGTAATTATTCTACACATGACGAATATTGAATAGATGTCGGTCAATTCATTGAGAGAGATCCGACTGTTCATGTACATAAATGTATTGTACAAAATTGTTTTTATTTATTCTACGACAGCCACTCTACTGATGGCACTTTTAATAAATTACTGTGTTATTTTTTTTTCTTAAATAAAGGATATAAAAACAGTAAAACGTAGAGTAGTAAAATAATTCCAAAGAAGAGAAGAGATAGAGAAAAAAAGATGGGAAAATTAAAGAGAGTAGGAGGAAAAATGATGAGAATTTAAGTATCCTTTGTACTTAATAACGCGCTTTAAAAAATATAAAAATAAAAACGCAATCAGTTACTCTCTGTTTATTCTGTTAAAATACAAAGGATTTTTAAATGATAATTGGTTGTCCAGATTTACAATATTTTCGCTTTTATATTTTCACAAATCTCATTTTTTTTTTCGGCACACAAAATATATATACATGTCATTATATAATCAATATATAAACTGATGATATTGATGATAAATAAAATGAAAAATTCATAGGCATCAAATGTATAGTGAAAGGATTTCTTATTACAAGTCATTTGTATGGAATAAAAATGATAAATTATTAATTCAGGAAGAAAAAATCAAAGGAAAAAATAAAGGATTTTTGTTTTCATTTTCTGTTTTTTTTTTTTTTGTTTTTTGATTTTTTACAGGATTTGGTTTTCTAAATTAACAAAGATAAATTGTCAATTCTGTACAAAGAATAATAATGGAATATTAATCATATTCAGAAGGAAGTTACACGTATAACAGTTTTTTTTTGTTTTAGGGTTTTGATTTTTGTTTTTGTACAATTTCGATTGGAAAATCATTAAAGCATTACAAAGGAAAATATTATTTTTTTTTTTTGCCGTCTTTTCACAAAAGATTTTATTATTGAAAGTTCTAATAAGTGGAAAAACTTTTTTGATTTTAACGATAATACAGTTACAATATGAAAACGTATAGAAATAAATTTCAATACCTTTATAGAAAAATTAGCATTTGATAGAAAAAATCTTATAAAGACAAAAAAATAATTTAATATCCTTATTAAATTCAACCAGCCGTAAAATACCATAAGGATTTATTAAAGCAAAAAAAATAACCGATTTTTGAAAAATAACTTTTTTTTCTGACAACCTTTTATGGAAATAAAGTAGTTTTGCTTTTTTTCTTTCTGCAAAATTATTAAAAATTTTTTGTAAAATTTTTTATAAATATTATTAGTAATATTAAATAAGAGCCAGAAAATTTGAGGTTTAAGCGGCATCTGTATTCTGCAGTTGTATGAAGAAATTTCCATCAAGTTAATTTTATTAGTGTAATAGGCACATTACTTACTAATTAAAACTAATACGTTGTATTAGTAATTCAGTATATTAGTGTAATACGCACAATATCTATTTATATACATATGTTCTTGTGATTGTGTGTTTCAATTAGGAGATTGCATGTAGCATCTCAATGTCAACAATCCTTAGTAATCATGTGGATTACCAGTATAAAGCAATGTGAAGAATATTTCGTCGGCGATTTTTTCATGCCTCTGTAGCTCAGTTGGTAGAGCGTCCGCCTAAAAAGCGGTAGGTCATTGGTTTGAGTCCAGTGTGAGGAGAAAAATTTTTTAATTTTTCTGCCTTTAACTCGTTCCTTTGATTACGTCATCCATCTGTTCTCCAGTTGTATGAAAAAATTTCCATTAAATTAATATTTAAGTCGCATCTTATTGTATATATATTATTGATCACATAAAACGGCTTTATGTGCTTCAATATTGTAAACTTTTCTAATATTAATTTGTTAATCAAAACGTTTATTAAGAAAAATTTATAGCTAATCAAAAATTTGCTATGAAAATTAATAAAATCTTTGATTTGTGCAACTCAATTGACTAATAGAATTTCTAATGAATTTCATATTTTCCGGAATTTCGGGTACTCAGAATTTTGTGTATTTTCATAAGAAAAACGTAATACTCTAAAATTTTTTAAGTAAAATGGCACTATAAATGTTGAGTTTCTCATAAAATAATTGCTATTTATTAGACAGTTTGTTGACCTCAATCAGATAATACAATATACAAGAGTCATACAATATTTTTTTTGAATAAAATAGCATATTGCAGTTCTTCTCACGTTTCATGAAAAACTATAAACTAAGAGTTTTTGAATCGAATTTGTTCTCAATTTCAAATGTCATAACATCAAATTGTTATATTAGAAATAATTTTAAAAATATAAAAAATCTCAACATTATTATTGTAAGCTTTTTATACTCACAAATTAATTAATACAATAAATATATATATATACCTTTATCTGTTTCTGGATTTCTTTGATTTTCTTCAAATAGAATCCTAAGTTCTTCTTCTTGTTCTTGAGTCCAAGTACCTTTAGTACCGCTAAAATAATTTAAAAAATTTAAAATTAAACATAATATGTAATAAGAGTTTTAATTTTAAATTTACGCTTCATAAACATCACAATAACCAGTTTCTAATTCATTTGCCTCCCTTATCGATTTATAAAATAGTAATTCGGCATAAATTTTTGGATTTTTTGGAGCTGTTTCAACAAATTTTCGAATAACATAGATTGCTAAACGTCTTAATTCTTCATGATGTTGTTCTCTTGGGGCATCAAAAACTCTTTGAAATATTCTAAATAAACTTGCCTAAAAGTATGCAATTTTTAATTAAATTATTTATACATTGTTGTTGCTTAAAATGTTATTCGAAATTACACTAATTTTAAAGAAAATAAAATTGTTTTTTTTTTTTTTTTAAATTTAATTGTATTGTAAATGTGTTAGTGAAATGAAGTTAATTCTTAAGAAAATACACTATTCTTCAGTAATTTTTCTTTACTGTTTTGTTAAGGACTTTGATAAATTAAATTTTAAACGATTGTGACAGAAGAGAAATTTATATTCTTTCTTTTCACACAAAATTTTTTATTTTCTTTTAAAACTGAGACTGAGAGTCATTTTCATTTATAAATAACTTTTATACACATTCTCTGATGTGTTTAAAAGAAAATTTCGATTTTTTTCTTTGTTTGTTTTCGTTTTGCAATTAAAATAATGAGTTTCTTCTTAAGTGCAATTAACTATAAAAATGGTTTTTATATACAAAAAAATCTTTAAATGTTTCTTATTTTATTTTGATTCTTTAAATTTTTCCTTTTTATTTCAATTTACCTGATATAACATGGCTGGACAATGACTTCCATAAGCAATACGATGTAATATTGTTACAGTTGCTTTTAATGATTTCGTTGAAATTTTTTCCCAATCAGATAAAACAAGTGTACAAGGACGAACCACCTTAGCATTTACCAATCTTTATATAGAAAAGGTATATAGAAAAAATGAGTAAATGGAAGAACAAGATAGAAATAAATTAATAAAATTTCTATATAATAATAATAATTATATCAAGGATAATAAATTATAATTTTTTTTTTTATATAGCAATTTCCCATATAACGAAAGAAGAAATTATCAATTAAATATTTTCGTAACTTTATTGCACTTCATAATTAAATAGTGATATTGAGATAGTTAAGATTTTTCAATGTTTAAGTAAAAGTATGTACGTGCGCGGTTCTTTAAAAATCAAAATTCATATATATAAAAATTTCTGATGTCAGACGGTTTTAACTTTAAAAATTTTTAATGAAAATATTAAAGAATAAAGTGAAAATTTTCTTAAAGATTAACTTAGATTCCAAATTGAATTAGACAATCATTTTTGAAAAATTGATGTGAAATTCATTCAACTAGAAAATATTATTAATTATAATACTTATATACTCTTAAATTTATCTTAGTTCTCTATTATTCTCATTTAATTTACTCCACATTTAAAATACTAGATATTTGAGTGTACATTTATGCTTGGAAGACGCCGTATATTTGCGTGTGTAATTAGAAGAGAAAAAAAAATTTTATATTTAAAGCGAATTTCGTTGTAATTTTCATTCTACAATTAGATCCAACACAAGTTCAAGTTCCTCTACATCTACACCATGTATTTTATACTTCAAATTCTCTTTTTCTTAAATTTCTTTCATTTAATAGACAATTAGTATTAAATTGGTTAGTAATAAAATAAATTTTAAATTGATAGAGCTAAAGATTGGTTATAGGAAAAAAAAATTTCAGAGATATAGATGATCACAATGTATATATGTAATAAGAAAATTAATTTTATTCCTATATAAAGACGGAATAAAATTTAGCAACTGGGGGTTATTTTAAAGTATATAATTAATTTATTAAAGTCGTGGAAAATATAAAATAAAATCAATTACATTACATGCAATAAGAATTCGGGAACGAAATTTTAATTTAGTTAAAAAATTTCCTGCAAGTGAGACGTTTACGTTTACTTTTTAATATTGTATTTTGAAAATTTCTCAAATCTTAAGGTTTTATTTAAATAGATAAATAAGGATTTTTAAACTAACATTTAGATTTAACTAAAGCGTTTGATTTGTTACTTAATTCTAAGACTAATTTTACAGTAACAACTGTTATTGCAAATAAACAGACATATAGCTACTTATATAATCTCCGTGTCAACTCTGTGATACCCGTACGAGTAAATGATTTTAAATGTCGGAGATAATTGACATATAGTTTCATACAACCACATTTGCTTGTTTATACATATATGATAGTTACCATATATACCCATACAGTCTATAAGAGTTTAATGAAAATGGTGGCCAAATAAATGAGTTTAATTGCCAAACAAAGAGTTTAATGAAAATATGGCCAAATAAATATTGAAGTTTCATGGCAGTTACTCGAACCAGCACCTCGATCATATCCAATTTAAATACGGTTTTGCCATTTTCTGTAATAAATCATGTGTTAAAAATTTTAGTGAATTTATCTCAATTAGTTTTTGAGTTATCGCTGGGACGGATTTGGACATTCACTTGGAAAACATACACTATAGAGTCTATTATTTCTTAGCGTTACAAACGAAAGGCAAATTTATCGTAAGGGTATAATTAAGGGGTTATTAGTAGAACAGTGTTAACTGCGTGTTATAATTGAATCAAGAACACCTTCCAGACGAAGCAAAATATAATTGAACTTAGCGTTTCTCTTACTTCCAATAAGGACATTTCAATTTTTGTTATTTTTCTACCGCAAATTGAACAAATTAAATTAAAATTAAAAATTTTATATAACAATAAAATATACAAGTATGTTTACTTTTACAAAACTTTGTGGGTTAGATAAAAAATATAAATTTACCAAAATTATTCCAAAAATACAACAATTTTAAGGCGCATTTATTATCCTTTTATTTTCATTTAATTTTAATTTCTAAAATTTTTCTTTTCATTGACCTTCTAAACAAAATTATGGCCTTAAAAGTTGTTGCAATAACAATAAAAAATAATTTTTGAACACATCTGTTCTTTTTCAATTTCCATTTATACAATTTTAACAACAAAATTTCAAGGTCTGGCACACTTGAATGAAATTTTTCTGTTTTCAATTGAAAGGTTTTTCAGGAAATCAGCAGATATCTTTTCATTTTTTTTTTCGTTTTTGTAACACTGTAAATTTTATTTGGATTTTTTTTTAAATTTTTAATTTTCAAGAAAATTGAAAATTTGAATTTTACTTTTTCTTAGAGATAAGAACATTGTTAAGAGTTAGAAAAATTTGAATTCTAAAAAGTTTTTATGTTATATAAGTGAAATTTGGAGAATCGCCGTCCAAATAGAATTTAAATTTTGAATTTAAAATATTGGTAAGGATAAAAATTGGTTTGGTAAAATTTTTACTTACATTCAAATATTATTGAAATGTAAGTAAAGCTTTGGTCCAAATCTATTTTTTGATCTAATTGAAAAAAAATTTCATGAATAACTTACCGATTTTGCTTTTAAGCCAAATTTCAACAGAGCTTTTGAGATTTTTTGAACGTTGTATACATCTCAAAAGCCAGAGTCCACTCATTCTCTAATAATAATAAAGAATTTGTGTTTTTATAGAGAAATTGCAACAGGTAACCGCGGCAATTTGCGGACCAGCTCAATTATTAATAAATTGGGAGCCAAAATGAAACTGATTAATGATAAAATATGTAATCGGGTCAGGTTTGGTAACTTAAATTCACAGGTGATTTAATAGTCCATATTCACAGGTATGTGAATTTGAATCGAGTTTAAATTTGATCCACATTTAAATTACAGAACTTAGCTCGCACTTCTAAAAAAAAATCTAAACTTTAAAATTTAGTTATCGAAACGCAATTTTTTTGAATATTAAATTGGAATTCAGACACACTCAAACTTCTTTTCCGGATTTATTTAATTGTCAATCAATAATTCTATACACACCTCCACTTACAACAAGCATGAGCACTTTGGTGGAAGTATAAATATGGAAGAAAAAATGGCGTACATATTCTCATCTTGTACTTTTAATAATAAACAATAAAGTCGCAATTCTGAAACCAATACAATATTATTTTGAATTCAAAAAGAAAAAGCAGTCACACTCATACTATACACTCAGGTAATCATAAACTTACGTTAACTTTTATTTTTAAATGTTTCCAAACAATAATCGTTATAAATGCCAACATCATCACTTAAAAAAAACATGCAAAACTCTTAAGTTAAGTGAATATAAACAATCTAGGTATTGTTGTATAGATTTTCAATTTAAGTTTTCCAATAGTTCAACTCTTGGGGAAACATAAAAAAAAAATTCTTCTTTTACTTTGTTCTTATATTTCGAAAACTTTCAACTCCTCAAGGAATGTTTGTATAGTTGAAGATATTATAAAAGTGATAAAATGGAAAAAAAAAATTTCAAAACAAATTCCGATATAAAAAAAAATAGAAGAAAAGAATAAGGTAATATTTTTAAGTTGCAGAGAAATAAAATAGCTGTAGGTGTTGATAAAGAATGCACTTTTCATAAATTCTCTTCTTTTTTTCCATATAAAAAAGTTGTATGTCATAAATGTGGCATTTTGAAGAATAAATTTAATGTGTGATTTCACGAAGTAAAGAAAATATTAAAGAAAATTATTAACTAGTTGTGATATTCTTGAAGGTTTTTCTCGAAGACTTCTCAGACTTTCTAACAAATTCTAATTTAAAAGTCCGCGACAATTTAAGTAATATTACGGCTGTGATATGACTTTGGTCGGATTGTCATAACTCGATTACAGTATCATTTGGTAGAGTTTATAGCAACTAGTATTTGTATTTCATTTGAATTGTTATTGGACATTAAAAATACACTTTCCGTCTGAACATTTTGCTATTGATCCGAGGCACACTGATTCTCTGAACTCTGATTGAAATGATCGAGTTAAGATGTTATGTTGTTATTGAAATTCAGATGAACACTATTCAATAACTATTTTAATTTCAGTATGTCATCGTACTGATAAAACTTATTCGAAATTATTTTTTCTTAAACTTTTTAACATTTCATGTCATAATTTTGGAAATATCGCAGGTGAATTTACGCTTTTTTTTAACTTAAAACTTTTAAAAATTCCGCCTTTTGTATTTATCAAAACATTTTCAACTTATCATATATGTTCACGGAAATTTAAAAACTTTTCCTTTGATTGATTTTTTTCTTTGCGTTGTATAGATAAATTTTGTATATCTGTATGTATGTGTTGATTACTAAAGTACTCATATTTTTAAAAAAAATTGTTTGAAGTTTTCAAATCTTTTTGAAATTTTTGCTCTTTAGCTAATTATTTCTTGTTTCAATAACATTCATAAGAGCAATATGAACAATATTGTGAGAAAGCTAATATTCTACCAAATTTAATTCTCTGTTCAAAATTTTAAAGCATTCTTAATATGTATAGCTAATATAAATCTATATTGTCTATGTCATTTATGTAAGCAACTCAAAAAAAAAGTTTATTACAGATTCTTTGTTAAATTGCTGCTTTTTACACTATATAATTCTAACAAAGATCTTAAGGGCTTGATACTATTAGTGTTGCCTATATTTGAAATTGACTGCTCTTCAATATGTTGCTCAAAATACTTAAAAGAATTAATCTAAATACCTTAATAAATTTTTAAGATCCTATATATTTGAGTTGAAACATCTTCAATTATACAATAAATTTAATGAATGTTGCGTATATTATTAATTACCGACCGTATTGTGTAAACAATAGGTAGGTTATGTGATGGCAACAAATTTTGCATATCGAGTTTTCGGTGGGAACGTACTTCTCCATAGTAGGGAAGTGTAAATAAACTATTTTTAGCAACCTGTCGGTCTGTCGGTCTGTCGGTCTGTCGGTCTGTCCGTCTGTCGGTCTGT